TCTTTGTATTGGGCCTTGTCAAAAGTGATCTTCTTTGGAAGCATCTATGTTGCCGGTAGTACATGCACAAGGCACAGCAAACATTTAGCGAAGGATACGTCTTGTCGGTCCATGAACTGAGTTAAAAATCAGCTGATGGGATTTGCACGGGGCTGAGCTGTTACCCTCTCATGGGAGTAGCTGCCTCAGAGATCATGTGGAGCATCCCAAACATCGTCATCTCTTCATTCTGCTGGTTAGGTTTGGCTTCAGGTTCCATCTCAATCTTGAAAATCTTTTTGTTGTGGACACAGCAGCTCCTGGAGGTAGAAAGACCAGGAAGTGCTGCTGTGCACACTGTGTTCCCTGACAGCTGGAGCCTGTCCAGTTCATGGATCACTGTTGCTGCCACAGGCTCCTGCAAGCTCTGTCCATTTGAGTTTTTGAATGTATATGGACCACATAGATAAATAACAATTCTAAAACTATATGCATCTAGCTGACAGGGAGGCCAGGGAGACCAAGGAGGAGGTGGAATGGCCCGAGACATTTGTTCAGCAAGTGGACACACAGTGAAGTGCATTTGGCTCAGCCCATGTTGGGATGCAGGAGAGTTTTCCATGTGGATGGCTTCATCATGGACATCCACCCTGTGTCAGGTGCCATGTCCGGTCGTGAATGCTTGCCTACAAGTGAGTCAGTTCCTGCCCTCAGGAAGTCTTTAGGCTCATGATGCATGGGGAAGAATGTTTACAAATAAGAGAGAAGTACGCAAGCCGTGAATCAGTAAAGCCAGGGAGAGGGCTGGGTCATGGAAGGAAAGTATTTTCCATTTTATATGTGGTGGTCAGGGTGAGCGAGAGGAAGCTTTCATTCAAGGGAGCAATGTATTAAACTGGGGTTTTAAAATTCAGGAATTTGGCTGTAATGTGTTGGCTGTTAAGAGAAAAGAGAGTGTTGCAGTCAGGGCTCAGAGGAAATGCACACAGCTCTTAGGTAATGGGAATTTGTGAAGCCATGAGTGACATTGATAAGGAAATGTTACAGTGATTTGTGGTGCACCTGTCCTATGGAACATTTTTGCAACTAATGAAAATAAATTATTCATTCACATCAATTGACTTGAGAGGTGATCATGATGTATCACTAAGTGAAAAAGTGAAAGTGCAGAGTATTTTATATTTAAAAAAAATCCAATTTCTGTAAGCATAGCACCATGTGTGTTTGTGTCTGTAATGTTGGTATCAGTGGGGTTCTCCTGAACTGTGCTTAGGAACCCTGGAACTTCACACCAGTTTACTGACTACTCACATGACCAGTGGGACAGCTGAGGCTCTGCTGCTCACCCTGGGACCCAGGCCGCATGTTGCACTGTGCTTCGGTGCTGGACAGAGGAAGAGGGCATGGCAAAGTGTTGCTAAGTTTTAGACTTCCTACCCACTTGTCAAAGCAAGTTGTGTGACATGTCTAGCTCAGAAAACCAGGGTGAAGTGCATTGATTCCATGTGCACAGAAGGAAGAAAGTTGGAGGAACTTGGCACAGTGTCCTCATGGCCTCACATATGGAGGGAGGAATGGAGTTGGCAAGAATGAGGAAGGAGATGCTCCAGCTTCTTTGGTCCAGGTTGGGGAGAAGAAAGAGAGGACATTGTCACAGCATCTGAATGTTGCCCAACAAATGGGAAGGCAGTGAGCCAGCTTCTTAACAGAGGAGATGTGCAGCAACAGGAAGAGAGCAGCCACAGACTGAGTCCCGAAGGAAGAAGATGATGGGCTCTGACTGTGCGTGTGAGTGACGGGGTCATGAAAGGTGACTCCTAACCTGAAACTCCCGTCTTGTTGGAAATGGCACCGTCACAGGCAGAACCATGTTATCTCAAGAGGACAGGCTTAGGGTAATATATGAGTGCCCTCGGCTGGTTTTAAACTTGGAAGTCCTGATGTTCCACTAGATCTGTCAGAAGATATGCAAGAGACATTGGAAGCCATTGTGTTGGAGTGAGGCCACTGTGAATCCTACCTCGGCCTGGCATTTCTGAACATGTCATGGCGATTGGATCAGTGGCTTCTGTCTTCACCATATGTGGAAGGCGATTCCTATGTCCCCATGGGGATGTGCAAACTCGGGGGACTGCATTTGACTCGTGGGAACACTTTTCTAACACATTCTTTAAATGTGCCAAATCTATTTTTGTTTTACATATGGCCCTGTTTAAAATTGCAAGTTTTAAAGCTCGGATCTTTTAGTGGGATGGACTACCCTCAACCATGGGACTTGACACAGCACCCTTCTTCCTTCTGCTCTGCTTGGCGACATTCCCTGGGTACCACTGGCTCTGCTCCTGAAATGCGCTATTAGACCCTCAAACTTGATGTCACTAAGTTTGATTCATTGTTCGTTAAGAACTCCATGTTGCCATCAGAAAAAGGATACCTCACAGGGTCTCTTATATTCGAAGAACTGAGGGTCTGTTCTCTGATGATTGTCAGTCAACTTACCAGAAACTTCTATCACAAAGCCCAAAATATTTGCAAAAGGTAATACTTGGAAATGATGCTACCACATTAAAGAAACTCGAATTAAACTTATTGAAAGATAAGACAGTCTCAGAGAAATGCTGATGTCTTTGCATTATGAAAAAGATGCATCATTTTAAGAAGCGCTCTGATCATCAGTTTGATATCTGGACATATTTAGCAGTCCTAATAGGATGAGGCTTATAAATAAATGTGATGAGTGAAAGTAGCAATTTCCCAATTAAAAATAGTTCCTGTAAATTTGGTGACTGTAGGGATTCCAACGTAAATATCCAATTTTTTTTTAGTAGGTGATGACTTCATATTAGTTGTTTTTTCTAATTCTGAAAGAAGCTGTTCTCCTAGTCGTGTGGTTCTCTAGCAGAACCTCTGAGATGCTAGGAAGGACCTGACCTCTGGCACTGACTCCATGCTCCACTGTTTACGACTGGCTTGGAGTTAGGAGTCTGGGTTCCAACAGCTCACCCTGTGCCTTCTGTCCCTGGCAAGAGGTTGATGAAGGAGGCAGCCTGTCCTCACAGGGCAGGTCACTGGGGCTGCCATGAAAACCCCTGCTAAGAAAACTGGGATTCTGTACTTTGTGTGTGGATCCCATGCTGGGAGGTTTGGTGGCTTTGGTTTCCCTATCTCCTGTGTGGAATGGAAGTAGTGGGCTGGAGGCCCTGCCAGATAGCAATGCTGTGCTGAGACATATCTTCAAAGTCTTTTATTTATTAAAAGGTGTGAGAAAAAAAATATTTACCCAGAAAAAATTTCTATTGCTATGGTAATCTGTTCACCCACACATTTTGGCCCGAGGACACACATAAATATAGAGCGAAGGGGAGGAGACGGGGGCAGGAAGCAGATGGTCTCCACCAACGCGGGCTTCCCTGTGCCCATTCGCAGTGGGTTTCTCCCCGGCTGCCACTTGCAGGCATTATTGGTGATGGTTCAGGATCCACCCCATCTCCTCATGGCAGAGCAGGTGCTGCAGGGAAAGCTGAGCTGTACTGTGAAGTCTAGAATGTGGGGCTGCCTCTCTGCTGTGTACAGACCTTGAGAGCTGGGATCCCCCCACCCCCTGCAGCTTATACATCCCCACTGCTTTGGGCAGTGTGTGTGTGGGTGGGTGCCCCTAAAAGGGCAGGAGGCCTCAAGTCCTTGCTAGTTGCCCTCCCTTTAGCTCCACCTGGACCGGAGTCCTCTGCTTACTTCCTGTTGTGTGCAGGACAGCTGGGCTTTGATGTCTTTCCTGTGACACAGCTACAGGAGTTGCCATGAACATGCCTTTGCCTTGCTTGCTGGCAGGGAGGAGCCGCATGCCACCTTCTCTGGTCTCAGTTCCTGGCCCTCTGCATTAGCCACCTTTTATCCTTTATGATGCTTAGTGTCTCTGTGTTTTTCTATAACAATAACTGACATATTTGGTTACCTGCTAAACCACTTTTTCTCCAATTCCAAACGTGTGTAAGCAGTGTCATGTGGATTCTATCATGTATCACATGTGAGCCATTTGAAGTCAAGAACAGGTTGCTCGCTTCGGCAGCACATACACGAAAATCAAGAACAGGGCAGCACCTAGTTAGCTTCTGTGTTACATAAGTATTTCTGTCTGGTTTGAAAACTGTTTTCATCTGCATGGAATGAAATTTGGTATCTCTTAAATGACTACTCTTCATATCCATTCCCCACCAGTGCCTGCCAACCAACAGTTGACTTCTGTCTCCAGGAATTTGCTTATTGTGTATGTTTTACAGCAATGGAATCCTACAGTGCAGGCTGGTTTCCTCAAGCTCACTTCATTTGGCAAAAATGTCTTTGGAAGCCCATTCAAATTATATTGTGTACCTGTGCCTTATTCCAGTTTTGGCTAATTATTATTCCATGGATAGATATACCATGTGCTGGTTACCATCCATTCCATGACAGATGTTTGGGTTTCTACCTGTGGGCTGCCGCAAAAAGGGTCATTATGAACATGTTGGGGAGGGGGCTTGACTTGTTTGAGCACCAGTTTTCTGTTCTTCAATGAGAATAGAATTCTGGAATAGAAGTTATTCTGTTGTTAACTTTGTGAATAACTGCCAAACTGTCCAACAGTGGCTGAGCCACCTATAACCTGTTCCATTTTTGTAATACTTATCCATGGTGTTTGTATCCTCTCTGTTCCTCCCAGGTCAGCACCTGCTGACCCTTCCTGGCTTCACATATACCTTCAGATATTGTCTTAAACAACCCAGGGGGTGCCCTCAAGAGTAGACCCAAGCCAGGGTGGTTCCAGCTGAGTTTTCCTGGTGTTCAAATTTGTTGGGACCCCATTTTTTCTGTCACATGCATCAGTTGTAATCCTGTAGAGTTGTTTGAAATGCAGTCCTGTTTTCCCAGGATGCCAGTTCTGAAGTGAGCACATCTCAGCTTGGCTTCTGCAGCCTCTGATGGGAAGGAATGAGGGAGCCTTTGGGAGCCAGGATGCTCCATGAGCCCATATTCTTCTCTTGCAGGTGTCTTTCTTCCTCTTCATCATCTTCGTGGTGTACACCATGCTGCCCTTCAACATGCGAGATGCCATCATCGCCAGTGTCCTCACCTCCTCTTCCCATACCATTGTATTGAGTGTCTGCCTGTCTGCAGCTCCAGGGGCCAAGGAACACCTGGTCTGGCAGGTAGGTACCCCTCTGGATCTTTACTGATGACCTTCCTCATCTGTCGGGGTAGCAGGGAGCTGGGAGCTCTCCAGAGTGTATCTGCTGTCTGATACCTGGAACTGCACCCTCCATTCCTTTTTTTTTTTTTTTTTTTTTTTTTGTCCCTGGGTAATACCTCTGGGTGGCCAGTCACACCCACCACCATCAGGGTCAATGTCACTTAGCTGTCACAGTTACTTGAAGAGCCCACCCAACATGGCAGTTCCATGTTGCTTAATGTGCAGCTTAGTGTGTGATTTTGATAGTTAAAAGGTGTTCTTACTATGGAAAAATTTACAGCACGGAATTTGCTTTTCCCCACCTCTCTCTACCTTGACATCCAAAACCTTCTCTTTATAGAGAACAAAATAATTTCTTCTTTTCTTAATCTTCTGGCAGGTCTGGAAACTATTTAAAAACCAGTTCTTTAAAATACTACCACAGCGAATTTTGCCTAGCTAATAAATGGCATTTGGAAAAAGCCATTCTATTTAATTAGTTAAAAGCACTTAAAAAGCTATTTGATTTCCTGTTATGTACATCCATAAACATGAAGGTTAGTGACTTGGAGCTATTTGTAACAATCTTGTTTTTCCTTCTGAAAAATATGTGTGTTGTTGCTCTGTATGTATCAAATGGCAACAAATGCAGTGGAGATGAGAGAGTTCCAGTCAGGAGCAGCCCTGTGTCGGTAGAAATGCAATTTGAGGGAGGATTGCCTGGGCCAGGGCCGAGTCCAGCCACTGGACTTCACTTGGTGTGGTGTTTCATGTGGAACCTGGAGGAAGAACTCGAGCTTCTTACTTGGGTCTGTAATTTGTTTGCTTCCTATTGGATCTGTTTCTCAGGGTTTTTTTTCCCAAAGCTCCCAGCAACATGTTCAGTAGGACCTGTGCTCAGTGAGTCCCCTCGGTCCACACTGTGTGCAAAGGCTGTGGCTTCTGGCCTGGCACATTGTGTTGAGGCTTCCAACTTACTTCTTTACACATCATTAATAAGCATCACTTTGAGGGTGTGGAGTAAAACCATTTTCTCTCTCTTTGTATCCCATTTGATGTGTGCCAGTTAGCTGCACTGTCTGAGGAACAGGGAGAGACCATTTAGTAAAAGAATGCAGATGGAGAGCTTTTGTTTTAAAACATTTAATTGATAATCAGACTATATTTTTAGGGCCATAAATAGCAATGTGCTGGTTTATTATACATATGAATTGTCTAGTGTCAAACTGGTACATCATCACCAACCCCGGCTGCACATTAGATTCCCACCACTTACTTGACTTACCCTTGAAACCTTATGTTCCTGAATCCACATCATCCTATCTCTGGCAACCACTATTCTAAAAAGAGCAAACTGAGCCATGCCAGGAAGAGGTTAGAGGGGCTCCTCCACACAGGAGCTCAGCCTCACAGTTGCTTCTGTTTGTTGCATGTCACTTGCCTTGCCTGGACTCACTGCTGGGACAGTTTGTCTTGCCTCATGAAGTGCACTCTGCTTCCTCCCCTGACTTTGAGTCAATAGGCTCTGTTTCATTGTCAGGTCCAGGTCAAGGGTGGGGATGCTTCTTTCTTTTTTTTTTAACCACTCCTCTCTCTGTTCAGATGGCGGAGTTAGACGGGGCAGATACAGACTTGCCAGCTGCTGATTGACTCCACACATGACCACAGCCACCAGGGCCGAGCCAGGCTGAAGCCAGGAACTTCTGTCAGGTTTCCTGCAGAGGTGCTAGGGGCCCAAGCACTGGTTCCTCCTGCTGCTTTCCCAGGCGCATTAAGAGAGAGCTAGATCAGAACTGGGGGCAGTAGAGACACAGGCCTGTGCTGCGTGTGGTGGCTTAACTGGCTGCTCCACAATGCTGACCCATGTGGGGGTGTTTTTGCAGGAGCAGAGGGCCTAATCTGCCCCGCTGGCTCCTATGCCGGGGTTGACCGTGAGAACATCTATCTTACAGCGCTACAGGCATTCGGTCATCTCACAGTTCACCACTCCTCTGGGATCATCTGGAACACATCCCATGGACATTTTTGTGCCTCTCTTTGTTGCACTGAATTGGGTTTAGAAATTATTTATATTTTCTTGTATCCGTAAAAAAAAAAATCTGACAGAAAAGTACCTAAATATTTTTATTACTCAAATACCACAACCAACAAAGAAACATGCTTCTTATCAGCAGACAACCAGAATAGGATAATTCAGGAACAGCAAAAAGAAAAAAAAAATGTTTGTAGTATTTCACGTGAGGATGACAGAGAAAGAATAGGAGGAAAAAATGAGATCTGTTTCCCATCCCTTTAGAAATAATTTCATGATGATTTCAAATCTGGTAAGGGTGGATATTCCAATAGAAAGGAAATGGGAGACTTTGAAAAGAAAGCAGTAAGAAAGGGGCCAGCGCTGAAATCCATCCCTAAGTGCTTCCAGGTTGAGATGGGAATCTTCATACCTAGTACATATAAGTTAGCATGCGCTAGACTTGATGGTTACTTTTCTGTGGTATAATTGTCTAAAACAACACTGCAGTGGAAAGATACTGTTGGATGTGAAGAAAGCCATTACCCATGCAGGATTGTCCCTGTCTTGCCTTCTAAGCCTGCAGGGGAGGAGTGGGTTCAGCCCGATTCTGCAGGGAGCATTAACTGTGTCCGTGTATTTCTTGACATTGGTGATGCACTGGGCACTTGAAGCATTCATCTGTCAGTCAACACACTGATGACTTGGGAGAAAACCTTCCCCCTTTCCTGGGCTTAGTTACAGAGCTGCTTGTTCTCTGGAGTTCATTTGACCCATGTGTGCCATGGGACATGGTGCCTTCTCAGGCTTTGCTGGATCACTTAGGTGAAAGCACTTTAACTATCAGCTGAAAATTATGAGTGACACTCTTTAACATGTTGCAAGCCTAAGGAGAGATGACTGGGGAATTTCCAAGGTGCTCTTCTTCCTGGGTGATGCTCAGACACCTTCACGTTCCCCCAGGTGCCAAAAGTGCTGAGCTGAGATTCCTACAGGGTGATGAGTTCTCAAATCCCTTAAGTCTTCAGTCTACAGCAGTTCCTTAATCTGTGATGGGTTCTCAGACTTGTACTGCCTTCAAGCTCACAGGTCAGTCCTTTGAGAAGTCTTTTGGCATGAATTCACCTGATGTTTCCTCCCAAAAAGACTCAAGCTCCGCCTCTTTGAGGAGTCACAAAGTGATGGTGGTAGAGGCCATCTTCTCACAGGGCTTTGTTTGGGGCACAGCTTTGATTCTCTTGCTGCTGCTGGTGGTTGTTGGTTTCCTGGCTCTGTCCACCAGTCTTTCCCACTTTGAAATGATTGATTTCATCTTCCTGAAAGAGCTTTGAAACTAGGTACCCATCCTGTTTTACAGGAACCTTTCTGTGTGTGCTGTTATTTTTTAAATCTATATCTACACAGTGCTCCTTTTGTGCTTGGTCTGGGGGGCGGAGGTGGTGGCTATGTTTTACCATCACGGCTTATTGTGATGTATGCCGTGGCTCAGATTCATCCCACGTTACGCCTTCATTCTGGCTCTGTGCCTCCTTCGGCATCTGAGTATGTCCTTGGCGATATTTCAGGCCAACCCAATCCTCCTGAACTCATGCCTAAAATCTGCCACCTCTCCAAGGATTCCTGGTGTCTTGGAGTGAAAAATGATGTTTAGAGGCAAGCTTTAGGCATCAGGCAGTCCCATTGCTGTGGAAGTGTCCCTGAGGTGAGGCCTCTTCACAATTCTAACTACATTGAGTTTTATAGATTCCTAATGGAGATTTATGCATTTCCATGAATATTTCCATTTCCATGCCACCATGGTTTTCATTCAAGTTTTTTCTTTTTGCTCTGTAGATAGCTTCCTTGACCAACAGGGAAGTACTAGCTCCCATCTAGTATTCTGGGTGCCTTTATTTATGCGATAACCCCTGCACCATGACTAGCCCCTCCCTCCCCACCAACAGGTGCTTTCTCTCTGATCTGGTCTGACACCACACCATGCTCTCACCATGAACATGTCCCCCAGGCCCCTGCTTGGACACACCCTCCCCACATGAGGCTGCCTCTGCATGGGTGTCCTTATCTTGTCAGAGCCCTACAATCTATGCTTGGCTTTTTATACTGTGATGCAACTCATTGCCAGCTTTCCACACATATCCCTCCTTAAGTGAATTCAACTCCCTGTGTCGGTGCTGGTGCAGTGAGCTGGTCTACTGGCTTAAGGATGTGACATTATTCAAGAAAATAAGGACAATGAGAGATGAGGGAAAGATGGGACAAGGAAGAAAAAGAGAACTAAGGTGGCATCACTATCATTACAGTATAATTGTTATTTGACAAGGAGGCAGAAAAAGGCAGAATTACCATGCACTGATGAACTTCTCAGATGCCCACATTTGCTGGAAGACTGAGACCAGAAACACAGTGTGGATATCTCAGGTGGGGCAGACACCCAAGCCTGTGAGGCCAGAAACACAGTGTGGGTATCTCAGGTGGGGCAAACACCCAAGCCTGTGAGGCCAGAAACACAGTGTGGGTATCTCAGGTGGGGCAGACACCCAAGCCTGCGAGGCCTCAGCTGCTGCCTCTGGCCGTGTACCTTAGCTGGACTCAGGTAATTAAACTTAGCAGCAGCACCAGGACCTGAAGCTGGACAGTGATGAGGTGCCATGACCCCAGGCCAGATACTGACCTCCGCACAACGAATGCAGCATTTATCCATGGAGAGGAAGGATGCCTTCTCAGTTAACACTCTGTGATGCACTCTGCAGTGATCTTTTCAAATTTTTAAATCATTCTTTTCTCTTTGTTATCCTAATTGGCTTTCAGAGAAACTTTTTTTTCCTGAAAATTTGTGTTTCTGACAGAGCTCTGTGATCCTTTGATAGTGAAGAAAAGACAATATTTAAAGTGAGGAAACTTAAATACAAGCAGGTTTGTAGTGTCCATAGATGGTAGATATTATTTCTGAATGATCAGTGTAAGCACAG